CCAATATTTCTTAACAATCAGCATAGACAGAAACTGGTGATATATACTACTTCAACCGCAACTGAGTCTCTTGAATAGCCAATATATCTATTTACTAGCATATGCTAATGCTACAAATTCTTATTCAATAATCAAAATTTTCATGCCAGTTTCCTTTTTAAAAGCCCTTGAAATAACACCTCATGAAGCAAAACATTCAACCACTTGTAGAAGAGTGATCTTCTAGCTAGGTTTGTAACCAAACTTGCATTTGAATATCCTTCTGCCACTAAAGAAAATTTGACTTATGACAAACCATAATTTATGGTTTCATTTAAGTACTAGAGTTGTGATATTTGTTGCCATGTATAAGGAAAAAGCTTCACACTTGCATCCATGGGAGTGTTCAATGGAGAAGACTTCCGTGCCGGAAGCCTTACCAGGAAGTCTTTTGTATAAAGTCAAATTTCAGACACAATTTGGTCAATTGCAAAACTAACCTATTTACCTAGAAAGACGTCTAAGAAGTTCATTTTGATTTTTTTTTGTCAACAAAGAAAAGTTAAAACTCCCACAGAAGTCTTCTATAAAGAACACACACAAAAATTCAAAAACTAACCTATGCTTTCACCAAAAGACTTCCACGAAGGTCTTCTCTGTCAGCGTAAGTCTTCTACGCAAACATATATGAAAATAAAATTGAATTCATACCTTGAATCAGTGATATAACTTTCTTAGCTTCTTCAACCACACAGAACTTCACCATGAAAGCTACCCACTCTTTGATGACCAAGAATCATGAGTTTAAATAGATCTATGAACCTTACAAACTTTAGAATCAAAATCTTGGAGATTTTTGGATGAATATAGAGAAAAGGTGAAAATATGTATTTTGTGTGTAAAATAAATGAGATAACATGAATAAAAATCGATTTTTGCATTAAGAGGTTGAAATTGGTTGTTTATGGTGGTTAGTGAATTGATGGTAGTGGTAATAATGTAAATATAAGATGAAAATGAGGATGATAGAGTAAAAAATTCATTTTTGGAAGAAAAAATAAAAAATAATAATGACATTTTCATGAATAATCCGAACTTCTAAGGTGATTAGAACAAATGAATGTTCCAATAAAAATCATGGGGTAGTTTTACATTTGACTTTTTGTTTTGAGTTACTTTTGCAAAACTCATGTATTTAACAGGTGCTTGAAAAATTCCCAATCCATACTACATAAGTTTCAAAAGAACCTAACTGATTCTAAAACTTAAAACGAAATATTTACTTCCACAAAAACTAAACTTTGTCTAGAACTAGTTTTTACAAATCTGAATTTATCTCACTATAGGGTTTATTTTTCCGAATTTCGAATTAAGAGCACAACAACAACACCAACACATAAATTTAACTGATATCCTATAACATTTAGTGATAACATAAACTAATTTTGGTTACGAATTTGTTGTCTTTCATACAAAGTAATTAGTTGTCTTCTAATAACTAAATACAAATAAACAATAAAATAATATTCATTCCGTTTGACTTTAGCTGTTGTTGTAGAGTGAAAATTTTATTTCAAAATAACTGCCATTTTACAGTTTCGATAAATGTCATTTATTAACCTTATATATTATTATAATTTTTTTGAGGAAATGTGATTAGGTGTATAGTTAATGATGATTATATAGAAGAAATATATAAAATTAAATGTTTTCTTAATTAGTGTGATTTTTTTAAAAAAATCTATATATATAAAGGAGAAGAGATTCTCTTCTTAAGGTGTCCACATCAGCAAAAAAGAAGTGAATATTTTTGGACATGTGGCAAAATATGAAAGACTCAATAATATTGTGTTTTTTTTTTTGTTTTCTTTGTAATGTCTTCATTTATCGCCACTTGAAGACAATAATCTAAACATTTGACATATTTTTCATCACTACGCCCACTTTCTCGAATTAAACTGACCCTAGCATCTTCCATGGTAATGTCATGAAACTTCACCTATAAGAATCTTATCGAAACCAAATTCCAAAGGCCTTAAAACAAAGTTGTTGTTGGTGGTGTGGGTTGTTGTGATGTTCTAAATAACTCTGGTTTATTTCTTTACTATTCAAATGTTTCAGTTATGAATATATATACATGAATTATACGGTGTGGTGTTTTTTATTTGATTTGTGATGTGAGCATAATAAGAAGAATAAGCTATTTCTACCACCGCATTTGAGATCCCTGCAAATTTTCAGACTTACCTAAATCAGATTTAATCTGTTGAAGAAGATGTATACACATATTTTTTTATCTATGATAAAAAGATTTTCATTAATAAAAAATGATTACATGAAGCAGAGAATAACAACAGTGAACCATAGCACATGAGCTCTAACCAGCAAAACAAATTTCAAAGGGTATATACATATTATTAGGAGTTTTACCAATTACCAGAGATACTAAAACATACAGCAAAGAGTATATACATATTATTAGGAGTTTTACCAATTACAAGATTTAATTTCAATCAATTTTAGATGAAAGATTGTAAATTATCATATATGAAACTACTATGGAATCTTTGCTCTAGATTTTTTACCATAGAATTTTAGATGATTTATGCTACTCTTACAAAGATATATATAATATATATAGATATTCTTTCCAAACACATTTTCACTATATCTATATAGATGGATTACTTTCAAATAATGTCTTACTAAACTATATATTTCACTTTGTTATGAAAGGACATTCAAATGAAGAATCATCAAACATTTATGCTGCTCCGTAGACATATTGAATAATGAATGCGACTTTATTGTCTCTTTGTTAACCTATGACATAAATTGACAAGGGTTTAATTCAAGACTTTTAAAGTGAGGTGAAGAGATAAAATATGCATGGGTAGTCATTTTCTAAACAAAAATATATAAAGAATATAATTTTTATTTAAGTATGGTTATGATAGTGTAGTATATTTCTAAGTGTTGAATATTTAATTTATTTTTCTCTTCAGAAAGTGTTGGATATAATGCTATGTCTGAAAACCAGTAAATATATATACTAATTTATATGTTTAGAGATCTCACAGACTCTCTAAATCCAGCCACACCTCAGATCATTGATCAATCTACAAGATTTAGATTCCCATTAAAATCCCTTGACCATTCCACTCAATATGTCTCGGTTATAAACATCCAACTTGAATAAAATCCCACTTAACTCAAATTTGTATTTATAAAAATTTGTAAACCATTTTTTAATTTAAACCAGCATCTGCTAACAAAATCATGCTAAAGTACAAGATGAATCATGTATAATTATTCGATTGTTTCTTATAAGCTTCAAGATCTGAGATTAATATACATATCAAATAAGATAAAAAAATTAATCATTATTCTGTAAAATTGTGTGAAAACAGAAAAAAACATACATAATTGGGGGATAATATTGACACTTTGTTGAATGTGTCATTATAATTGCTAAATTGAATAGTAAAAATACATAGATAAAATTGTTGTAAAACAATTATGAACTTTTAATACTAATTTTAGGTTAAATAAATTTTAAAGGATTTATCATATAACTTTATTTATACGCCCGTCAGTAGGGTGGGTTTACACTAGTAATAACTAAAACTAGGTGACCCACCCGCACCCTGTGCGGGTATAAAAATATAGTATAATGCTGAAATAGGAGTATATATTGAGTGCAAATGTGGGAGTTAGTGGAACAAGTGAGAGTTTCAATGCTGAGACAAGATTTGCGCAAATCTCTAGGATGCAGTAGCGGTGGGCAAATCATTACTTTTTCGGTTTGGTTTGTTTAGTTCGATTTTAATATATTTATTTCAACTGAAATAAACCTTATTTAGTCTGGTTCGGTGTAGTTTATGTCCAGTTCAATTTATATTCAGTTCGGTTTGTTTTTGGATCGGTTTAATTAGGCTCTTTGTCGCTTAATTTTTTAAAAGAAAAATTATGTTTTAAAATATATACACATAAAGTATGTGAACTAAATTCAATATTAAACTGAAACATAAAAAAGTCACAAAAAGTATATAAGAATAAAACAAATGAAAGTTAACTAAAGTAAAAAAAATTAACATCATTAGTATGTTTTTAATAAAAGTTAACTATTAAAAAAAACAAATGTAAGAAAAATATACAGGAGACAGTAACATATTAAAAAAATGTGATAAAAATCTCATAGATATCACAATCCCATAGAAAATGTGATAAAAGTTTAAATATAATTCATAAGTTATATAAAATAAGAAGAACAATTATGAATTAAAAAATCCCATAGAAACCTGCAAAAATTTGTCAATATTTTTAGCAATTGTACAATATAAAATAATTTAATAGATTTCAAAATGTTATCGAGACGAAAATGATATTGAATTTGCATATCGCTATTGAAACAAACTGAAAAATGGTTTGTAATCAACTACAAACGGTCTTTCATCTGTGTTATTTATCTGTTAATAGAAAAAACAAACAAATGTATATATATAGTAAATTACATTTTTAAGATCCATATTTTTATATATATATATATATATATATATATATATATGCCATTTTTTTATTTATTTTTTGGCAGCATCGACTTACATGGAGTATTTTTAAGGTCACAGTGGCTCATTCGTATACACCAGAGTAAAAACAAAAAGACATACACGAACTTCAATGAATGGGTGGCGGAAATAACCAGATGATAATTCTACTTACGACTTGGAAAAGCCATGTTAATATATTAGCAATTCACAATTAAAAACACACATCTATCAAAGTAAATGTTTAGCATAAGCCAACACAAACCAGACATATCTTAAACAATGGGATAAGAAGAATTGGTTCTATTCTTTACAAACATTTTGCAACAACTTCTACTATTAATTGCTACTTCTCCAAATCAATGCCAGGGAAAAGAACACAAAACCTTAACCAGGCTATCTCACAGCACACCAGAAGAAGTTAACATGATAAAAATGAGAAACATAAGCCATTTCTTACCAGATCTTGTGGTTTCAAGTGGTCACTGAACCTTTGCTTGGTCTTTTTCCTTCCATGGCGTCTTTCTTTTTCTTGCATACTGTGCATAAGAAGGGGCCTTCCCATCGCTTAGATGCTGATGAGATGATACCACCACCATCATTACTTGATAGAACTTCACCTGGAGATTGATCTATTTGGCATACAGCGCACTTTAACAGCCTAGTGTCAGTATTCGAGGGAAGATCCTTTCCCAATCTGTATATCAGAACACCAAATAAAGACAAAGACTGATTATCAGCATCTGAAAATCTCAGTTACGAAGAGTTTGGCAATATCAATTCATGGCTACAAGATTTTACCTATCTGCAAGCATAGCAGAACCTTTTCAAACAATTCTTCAACACCAACAGAAGAAAGCTTGTTCCCGTTCTTGTTGTTGGTATCAGTATGCTTTTTCTTAGAAAGAAATGCGGTGAATGTGTTCTGCTTCTTCTTGGGCATTGGAGCCAAGGTAAGATGATCAGATGGAACTATGTCAACAACTACACAAGTAGTATCATCCTTCAACCCTTTTGTTCGCAATGCTTCCTGAAAAACAAACATATGATTCAGAGAATAAGAAAATCTAGATCGGAGTATGTACACTGTAGAATATTTTAGGTTGATGACCAAAACCTTAACAACAAGTTTAGCAGCAAGCTCAGCAGATAAACCACGACAAGCTTTGGCAGCCATGTCAGAAGACATTATGTCCCATATACCATCTGAAGCTATAATGAGTCTCCCTCCAGCATCTGAAAGCTTAATGTACAGATGACATAAACAAAAAAGAACATTTTGTTCAGTGTCTAATAATATAAGCACTGACGAAAAATGCAGCAATGGGAAGGGGACTTACTTTCACTTGCTTAACATGCGGTATTGGGACAATATATTCTCCCACATCAGTATCACCAATGGACCTCGAAAGACACAAACCACCAGGCCAGCAACGAAGAGGGCCAACCTATAACATCATCGGAATGAAATCACATTAATATCATTGCCAATCAAAATACCAATCACATATTAAAAATCCACCACAAGCCAAAACATATTGAAGCAAGTAACTGAAATTTACTGGACATGACCATACCTCATTGCCACCAAAAACATTGAGCCTTCCGACCTCACCACCACTAGCAGTTACACGTTCTCTCTCTTCAACATTCTCCTCCAGCCTGTGATCAACAGTCAGTAGAGAAACCACACCACCTTGGGTGTCTAATATACAGCGTGAGTCACCAACAAAACCAACAGTGATAGTCCAACCATCAATTATAACAAATGTCACCGTCGTTCCAGAAGTTTCCCCTGTAAACACAAACAAATCTCAAGAATTAGAGCATGGTTGAAAACAAAAAAAGAACATGAAAGTAAAAAGCCTTTAAGCAAAGAGCTGGACACCTTTCTGCTGAAACTCAATGTTAGTTTTAACAAAGCCTGCAACAAGAGCCCTAGGAAGAGCCTGAAGCCACTCATCCCGACTTGCACCTTGAGGAATAGCACTCACCACATTATCCAAAAGATGCTCCTTAGTATATATAGCAGCTGAATTACCATTATGACCATCAAATATCTACAACAAAAACAAAAAACTTTGAGTCTAAGAACGCAAATCTCTTAACTTACAAAAAAAAAACAAAAGAAAGAGAAAACCTTTACCCCGAAAACAGAAAAGGCTGAGGAAGGATCACCATAGTTAACTTCGGATCTCTGATGTTATTGGCCAAGTAGTTAACTTCGGATCTCTGTTGTAGTTTCTCCATAAACGCAGAATCCTAACCTCAATACGCCATGTATCTTTACATGGTCTCAATTCCCTGATGAAAGACACTCGATTTTTGGTAGCTTGAACCTTTGCCATAGCTGTTATATAACTTGCGTTCGGTCTACAGACATTATGACATCGTATATATATTGTCAAGCTTTCCTAATGGTATGAGATTGACATATTTGGCATTGAATTTCCAACTTCTCACGCAAGTTATCGAATATAAGGTAAGGAAATTAAATAACCTATACATTAAATTTTAGAGATACGATTCTCATATATAAATCCTAACACTTGCACGCCAAACAAAAAATAAATAAAAAAGAAAATTAAAATAAATCAACCAATCAGATTAAAAGAATTAATCTGAGAAGGTTTTTATGAGTACCACGTGTCAAAGTGACTTCTCCTTTAATGTATAGGGGATGAAAGAGAAGAAATAATAAGGAACAAACACAACCACATCAATGTTTAATTATGAGAAGAAAAAAATGTTTAATTATGAGGGAAATCGTTTTACGTTTTGAAAAAAATGAATCTTTGCAGTGAAATCGACACGTGTTGTCAAATATCTCTTAATACTCGTTGACACTTTCCAAATTAACTGAGATTCTCCGATATTCTGTTTTCGCCCCGATGAGATTCTCATTTTACAGTAAAAATGAAACAAAATACTAATATAGGAAAATATTAACTTTTCTACCTTTATTATTCTTAACCTCAGTAATGGCCACTATAAATGCCCTAAGATTTCCCAACCCCATCTCACACAGAATCAACTTGATATTCTCTCACAACCTAAGAATTCTCTTAATGGCGCTTCGCAGAGCTATCACCAAGCGTCTCATTGACGGTTACAAATGCGTTCTTCCATCGAATACGAAGATCATCCGTTATTACATGACCTCATCGAATCTTACGGATCCGATCATGGGGTTCCGCATCGAGTCCGTTGGTCCTTCTAGAAGAGAGGAAGCAACGGCTGTGAAGGGTTTATCAGTGAGTGAGACCAAGAAGTTGTTGAGAATGTATCAAATGGAGAAGGTGAAAGCAAGACTCAGAGAGATTCCAAAGAGCTCTGTTTCGTATTGGGAGTTTGTTCAGATCTGTTGTGAGGCCTGTGGGAACAACGACGAGCAAGGTTCACAATTGGCCAAGTCTTTGGATCATTCGGGATGCGTCTGCGTTTTAGGAGACATCGTTTTTCTCCATCCCCATCAGGTGAATAATCTAACTAGTATCCTCTTAACATTCTCGTTCATTTGTGACTAATACTTTTGGTCAACATTCTTATATTTGCTTTGAATATACTAAAAAGCAGTAGATGGATCCGATAACAGACCATGTCCAAGCAGAAAGACAATATTTTTTAGCTTGTAAAATTATTAAAGAATTTCAAAATATAATACTATTTTAATTACAGTTTTAAATATTTTTCCAAAAATTTAGTTTGTTTTGAAAAAAACCAATACTTTTCAAAAGTATTTGTGTTTTGTGTTTTTTTTTTTCGAATTATGGTCTCTGATACTAATATTTAAAACAAAGATCCCTGGTAATCATGACCTATAATACTTTAGTTTTACAAAATATTATATTCTTACATAACTTTTCTATGTAATTTCAGATAGCAAAGTCTATGGAGGCAATGATCAACCAAACATCAGCACAACCAAACGATCCAAGAAAAGATGAGTTAGCTGAGCTTGAGACTACAAAGAAGTTAATTGACATTAAGGCACGACGCATAGTCAAGGCCGAGTTATATTGCGGTCTTGGATTCCTAGCAGCACAAACTATTGGTCTTATGCGTCTAACCTTCTGGGAACTAAGCTGGGATGTAATGGAACCTATCTGCTTCTTTGTCACATCCCTTCATTTCCTCCTTGGCTACTACTTTTTTCTTCGGACTTCAACAGAGCCATCTTTTGAAGGGTTTTATCAACAACGGTTTAAGACCAAACAAAAGAAGCTTATGGAGAGCCATGGGTTTAATTTTTTGAGATACACTGAGCTCAACTCATTGTTTACACCATTACCGTGTAAATCTGAAGTTTTGACGACGGTCTAGCTAGCAATTGAAGTTTATCCCGCCTAGACACATCATGTCTTCGGCCACTGTATAAGTTACGTTGTTTGTAGACTTAAATTGGTTTCAACTTGTATGTGTATTTGATAAAGTTGGAATCTTAATTTTTATGCACACTAATATATCCTTCTCTCAGTTTTATGGGCTCGGGCTTAGGAAAAAAGTATAGAATTCAAAGATTGTATAAAGAGTAACTCTCTTTATCAATACCATTAAAACATAAACATTGTTTTTAATGAATGATTTATTTTTTCTAAATTTACCCTTAATCTTATGAATAAATTTAATTTTTTCATTAATGGCAATTTTGTTTTTATTTTTTTGCCTAAAGACTATATACTAATGGGTTTAATTAATGAGCTCAATTCACCTTTTAATTATTTCTGAAATTTCTTTAAAAATAAACACATCAACCTTAATTGGCGTAGTTAGAGCTGAGAATTTTGATATTAACCTGCGGGTCTCGCCCCGTTTAACCCGCCATGGAACGGGTCGATCGATTTGAAAAAAATAAGTTGCAGGTGCGGGTCAAATGTATTTTACGCGGAACAGGTGCGGAAGGTTCAAATTTCAATTTCTGGTACTCGGTAATCCGAAAAAATAGAAAAACAATTTTGTTTTAAAAAAGTTTATTTTTCAAGAATATATTAAATTTCATTAAAAATAATTATTATATTTTAAATATTAAAAATTTAATTAAAAATATACTATTTAATCTTATTTTAGAAAAAATAAATTATTTTTATCATTTTATAATTATCCACGGGTCCCATGGATTACCTGTAAAATTGACTGGAATGGATGCAGATAAAATATATTTTCTTTGCGGGTCAGGCAGGGCGAGTTTGACCCGCTTCCCAGCACCAGACATAGTTAATTGATATTATTTTCCCATAGTAAAACTACACAATTACATACAATGTATTTACATAGATATTGTTGATAATAAATTCAAATCTGCATTGTAGATAGTGATATTTTATATCATCAAAGCAAAAGACTTATTGATTCATCTATAGATAAAATAACAAAAATGGTATCCCCGCTTTTTAATCGCGTATCAAATATCTAGATAATGCTTAAGAAACTAACTCAAAATTTAAGTTCTCAAACAATCAATCTTAAAACTGATAAGATATACCGCACTATTGCATCTCCTTATATAGATATTAATAGTTCATAATCCTATTAGGTAATATATCTAAATGATTTACAACATATTATAAACCATAATTTCCATTACCTTGTTTTTCAAATTTCTTTTTTCATGCTTAATTCGGCATTATCCTCCCCCCCCACCCACTACAAAAATATGGATATTCTTAGCACAAGAAATATGTTATGGTAGATGTTTGATAGTGAATTCTTGATAGTGAATTCATAAATTTTATGTATGCGGCAGTCATCATAGGTACCCCTTACAATAGTTTTTTTATAAATGCTACGAAATGTGCCTATTTCATAGCAAAAAATAAGTGCTATTATGAATGTAACTACGGCACGATTTTTTCTGTTACAAATTGATTACAATAGCAATCGCATATTTTTATTAGTGTTGTTGATAAGTGCTATACTAATTATAATTATAGCTTTGCATTATGTTATGATACTTTAATTCATATGAGATTTTAAGTACTATTATCTGCGATTGTAACTGTTTTTTTCTATTGTTACTTTTTATGAGAGCTATTATTTGGTAGTTTTCGGTTACCTGCTTTCAGAATCGATATGTTAAAAAGAAACATCACCATTCATATTATAAATTTCAAATACATAAGTCATTACAGAAGAAGGATAACAATGCAGTTTCAAAACACAAAACATAGTCATTAGCCAGTTTCAAAACACATAACATAGTCATAAGCCTACTCATAAAAAAAGTTCAACTTCTTGTTCAGCACCTAGCTTGTACCTAGGTAAGTCTGGACCAAAGTTCTTCATCCCTCTGCAGGCTGCAACAATAAAACTCCCATCAGATAAGCAATTACATACGACAAAAAAAAGCAATTACATTTGCAGGTTTAAAACACAAGGCACAACACTTACATCAGTTTAATAGATGATCAATTCATCAATTGGCCATGCAACGGATGAACCATGTGTATCTTTCAAATACTCGATTTCATCTGATTTCCTCAACACTGCTGCATCATCTACGACAACTGCATCTACCCACACTCTAGCTGCATCCAGACCCAACTGTACAAAGTAGAACATTTGATATGTTGAATGCACACGTCCTTCAGCAACAACAAGTTTCCTCCCACCAATGTCCATAAGTTTGCACTTGTTATTCGCTTGTATAGGTTTAGATGGATGCTTAAGCTGACATATTTACAATACACACTAATTTAAACCCTGAGAGAAATGAAACTAGATGATTGAAATAGACTAAAATATTTACATGATTAGTTGCTGGAGACTTCTCAGGAGGAGTTGATGTTCTTGCTCCCGGTTTTAACTTTGTAAACAGTTCTTCTAGTAGGAGACTTAGTACCTACTGATGCAGCTTTTTTCCTGTTTCTCTTGCGGTTCCTGCTGAAGACACAATGTTAGAATGGAGATTGTTGTCTTGCCCTTCTGGTGGGTTCTCAAAGACAACTTTGCGAGCATGCCATGACATAAAGGAATGTAAGCAGTCCTTAAGCGATGCCAGCTCCATCGCCGTCCTCCATAAATACATCCCTTGTTCATGTATTACATCAAGAAATACTTTAACTGCTTTGGGTCCGAGAGGAATTCCATTAACCAATGCCTTTGCTTCTTGAGTCTGCCAACGGCCTTACCCCACAATTACACCATCATCAGACAAATCCAGTAGCTTGCATTTGTTGAGAGAATTTGTTCTCGAGCCCTGTCAAACATATTAAGATAACAAACTTATGAAAGGCCAACAAATCATTACCTTA